AGACCACCAGCAAAGTTGACAACAAAGCTTTCTGATCTCCTGTCTGAAGTAAGAAGCAGCCCTCCTGGAATGTGCACACGAACACCAAATTCGGCTCTTCTTTGTTAAGCAGTCCTCCTGGAATGAGCACACGAACTCCAATCCTGACTCTTTACGCATTTTATCTCCTATAGATCTTCCCCAAGAACTCCACATTCTTCAAACTCTTCTTTGATCTTTAATGCAGCACAATTGACGACACAATCTTGCAGCAGACCCAAGCGAAGAAACCAATTCAGTTTTTGATTGGATGGTTTTGATGTTTTCTATGAAAGAAACACATATAAATTGAAGGATTGAACTTTTGATCTAATGTAGGATGTATTCTCTATGGAATAGAATGTGTTCAATCTATCTTACAGAAAATACGGCGCTTCAATATATAGGTTGGACGAAATAGGTTGTATGGGCTAAGTAAAAATCTCGAAAATAGAAAATTAGGTTTCCTATAACAATATGTTGCTCGAGCAAGATGGCTTCTTCGCTCAAGCGACAATGGGGCGACAGTCGAGTGAAGTAGTTTCTGTTTTAGTCGTTTGAGCATCACTCCAGCGAGCGGCTAGCGAAAATCCGACGTAAATCCTTCTTGTTCCAAATATAAAACCTCAAACCCTAAACTAACCTACCAACTATGAAACATTACAATTTAATCTCTAAACTTTTATAAATGTTCAAGTCTTCTTGTTCCAAACACATAATCCCAAACCCTAATCCTAATATACCAACTATGAAACTTTACAATTTAGTACCTAAACTGTTATAACTGTTCAAGTTGGTCAATTTGTTCACAGAATTGCCAATACAAAATATAAACCTAACAAGAAAGATAGTGGACCAGAAGCAAGTGAGGAAGAAGCAACGGTGGCAGCTGAAGCGTCGTCTGCAGAGGTTGTAGGCGACGGCAGTGTTAGGACGGTAGGAGAGGGTGTAGAAGGAGATGATTGGGGGTGGAAAATGACAGTAATTTGGGATTTTTTTTAATTTAATTCTTTTATTTTGATTTTTTTCATATGAAAAATGTAAAATTACATATTTAACCTTTAAAAATTGGTCAACAATTGGTCAAGCATTTAATTATTGGTCAACTAACAATCAAACTAACGGGGTTTCAGTCAATTTGGATTTCGGGTGCGAATTGTTTAAAGATTTGGTACTGTGGGTGGTACAAAACAAAAGTTTGGACAAAGTCTGCAAAAAAAGTGAAAGGTTTGGCATTGTGACTGCAATTTTCCCTATTAGTAATTAGGGATGATGATTGTGTGCTTGCATATGCTCTTGTTTGGTTAAGATAAAAATCAAATTTTCAACAGATTTAGAATGAAGTTTATGAAATATGTGAATGAAAAGTTGTGAGCTTCCGTTTGACAACCATTATTTGAAAACTATATATATATAATATTATTTTGGCCAAATAATGCCTATCAAAATGCATGGTTAAAATTATTTATTGATTTTGACTTAAAATTTTAATCATGGAGATATAAAGATGTTTTGGTGGAGGTGAAGGAATCAATAAAAGGTGAGAAGGAAGGATCAAAGAAATGGGACAATACCATCAAATGAAAATGAGCATGAAATGAATTTCTATCGATAATGGGGTCAGGGCGGAAGAGCCAAAAAGGATGATGACTTTTAGTCTTTGGTTGAGGCGATGGGTTTTTATTTTTATATATAAATATTTTCCTTTTTTGACTAATGTCCTGATTTAAATGTTAACAAGAAAAAATAGTAGTAAAAGTTAAAAAGTTTTGATAATACAATTCAACTAAGATAAAATGCATAATTATATACTTTCAAAATATATTTTCAAATTTAACAAAGTCAATGAAATTTTTCAAAAATTATACTCACATTTTGACCTCTAATAAAAATTTGTGATTTATACTATCATGTCACAATCACAATAAACACATAATTTATTATCACGATCACATATTAATTACAAATCACGCTATGTCAGAATGAAAAATATATAATTTGTGGATCACAATTACATATTTTTATTACAAATCACACAATTTAATATGTTATATATTATTTATTAATCACAAATTACTTAATTAATCGGTCACAATCACTCCTCACTCCATCATTCTCATAACCATCCAAATTGTTGTCATCACCTCAAATCCACAGCAAACCTATGACAACCACCTTTACCTAAAATCCATGACAACAGTCACCATCACCATCATTATCACCACCCCCTCCTCCTCCAACTGTACCTCAGATCCACAACATCCACCACCTCCACAATCAACACAGTGTCACTGCCACAACCTTCACATCAAATCCACCACCGGACTAAAAGAAACCACTACCTTTTTCACCCGATTAGGGATGACGTGATATAGAGATGCAGCAACAACAAGACACGAAGCCCGCGTAACTCGTTCCAACAACAGAGTACTTCTGAATCCCTAATTTTTCAAGAAGCTTCGATGGGGATTAAACCCTTGAATCAAGATCAATGTAGGTTTAGAATTGGTCCTGGAAGGACCACTGGTGTCGCTATCAATGTCTATTGTTTGAGAAGACAAGTTGGCATTGGCGGAGGTAGCTACTAAACAAGGAGATGAAGCTGAGACAAGAAGCTACCATTATAATTGTATATGTACAAGGGAGGCGCGAGTGAGGGGAGATAACAGTGAACATGAATAGAAGCAGGCAACAGATGACAGTGGAGAAACATTTGGTGTGTACTGGAAAATGAGGGAAGAAAGAACTCGGCTTGCATTACAGGGGTCTGCTTCACAGGCCCTACCACGTTACACACAAGGAGGGGGGCCAAATATTTTTTTTTAAAAAAATACATTTGGTGGGGCCCGCGTTACAGTGAGTAGCTTGTAAGGTCCCCGTGAAAATAATTCCTGTACACACCAGGAATTATTCAAGAAGAAATGGATTAGCGCAGGGTAGGATGAGATGAGGTGGGTAGGTGGATATAGTCTATACCTGATTTTTGGAAAGGTAAATTCTGATTTTTGACTGAAAAGATAGAGAATAGGGATGTGTGTAATTTCTTTTTCGACTATAATCACAAGATTTTTTTTGTCTGAACACACAATGGGTTGGACCACTTAATTTTTTAATCCCAATTGCAATGAAAGTCGTGAATTTAGACGTGAGCCTTCTTATCACCAATTAATCCAAAGTGCAATGAAAGTCGTGAATTTAGACACGGGCCATCTTATCACCAATTAATCTCAAAAGTTAACATCACTAAAATTTCATAACGACTTTGCAGCAATTGAGGTTTCCAGAAGGGGACACGTCTTTGGGGAGTGAAAATACAGTTTAGGTGAAAATTTTACTAAAACAAAAACAAAAAATAAGGCTTATTAGCACAAAAAATTATAATATACCAAATATTTTTATTTAATTTAATATGATATCAAGAAAATTCATATCAAAAGATTTTTTTTTTCTCAAAAGATTTAGCAGAATTCGATAAAAGATGACGAAATGTGAAATTGAAAAGTTAATAAAAATTGGAATATCATGAAATGCGTGGTTAAAATTGAAATTAGTAAAACTTTATTAAACAAAAATCGAATATGTCAAATATTCGAGATACTAGATTGTATATAGTTGATAATGACAAACTATACCCATTTAACATAGGACACGCTGATCCTTCGACCAAAAAAAATCATACATAGATAGAAATAAGAAAATCAATAAACAGTGACCCGTTAATTTCTTATCCACAAATACATTGTCTAGTCCAATCGACTAACTAGTTTTACAAATTAGATATCATACAAATATGAAGCATGTATAAGCTAAGAGCACTCTACATCATTAGCAATAAATTTCTCATTTGAGAACTAAAATAAATTACCAAATCAGGGCTTACACCACCTAGCTACATAGTTTTTTAGGGATTGATTGACAAATTTTTGATAAATATTTTAGCAGTTTTAATAAAAATTGATAAAATATATAATTGAAAAGTTAATAAAAACTATAAATTCAATGAAATATATTGTGATGAAAAGCAACTTTTTAAATTATTCCATATAAACACTTAGACCTTGTTCGGTCGGGATTAAAATCAGATTTTTAATAGATCTTGATCGAAGTTGATGAAATGTATGATTGAAAAAATTGTGGATCGTATTAAATATGTGGTTGAAATTAATTATTCACTTTGAATTAAAGTTTAAATTTTAATTTCTGTCGGGGCTTAATTTGCAGCCATTTTTTTGGTAAATGGTCTTTATCGCTTGCAGTTGTTCACTATTGTACTCACCACGTGCCCACTTCCAAAAGACTTTTGACTGTCAGGTACATCCTCGTGCCCCACTCACCCAGGAAAAAAAATGATTTTTTTAAAATCCTAGATGCTTGAAATATACATACAAAAAGAAAAGGAGTATTCACACATGATATTGCCTAGACTTTCCTGTGCCATGGGCGGAGGATGGTGGAGAAACCATGAAGGCATTTTGAGGACGATGTTCATATTGTTTTTAGGCCAGGTTGTGTCTTTTGACATAGCCATTATGAGCTTCACTGCCTCTTTAGTTGCCACTGAAGGTATTTTTTTACTTAGCAAAAACTAATTTTGTTTTATTGAGAAATTAATTGGACTTGAATTTTGGAAGTTTCTAAGAATATTTCGAAAATTTTGAGGTTCTACTCTAATAATTTTGTTCCTTGTACCTAATAATATGTTTATGGGATTGTCTAGGAGTTGATGCACCTCTGACTCTGTCATTCTTTAGTTACTTGGCTCTGGCTCTGGTGTATGGAAGTGTCATGCTGTACCGGGGCCAAAAATTGCTGGTATTATGGATTTGAATAATGCTATTTGTACATCATCGTTGTGAGGTGGCAAAAAGAAAGTTGGAGTTTTTTTTCTTTAGTTGATTATGAAATTTTGACTAAATAATTTCTCGTTACATCTGGTAAATAAATCTGTAACTTGTGATATACATATAGCACAACCGGGGTGGATTTTCATCATATAAATTATCGACTGGAGTTGATTATACAGTTTCATACTTACATGGGGTGTTTGGTTTGGTAAATTAGATAAAAATGGACAAATAGAAACAAAACGATGTTAAAATCTTGTTTGTTGTCCTATTCAGCAATGTCCAATGCTGCCGAGTTCTTTACACTGAATTGTTCTCAAGATATATTGGAAATCTTATGGTTCTTGAGTCAACACTGGATATTAATGTCGAAAATGCAGGTTCCTTGGTATTGGTACGTTCTCCTAGGATTTGTTGATGTCCACGGCAATTATCTTGGTAACGTGCTGTTACAAAGCTTATCCGTACATCAAAACATTTGGGATTTCCCTTTTTGAACTCACTAGTAGTCTTAGCACTGGAATTGCATTGATTTGTAAAAGCTTATTTTCCAAGTAATCCGTTACAGTTAATAAAGCTTATGAATTCTCATCAATTACAAGTGTGACGATATTGGATTGTTGGACGATCCCATGGGTAATATTGCTCACATGGATTTTCCTTGGCACAAAATATTCCGGGTGGCAATTCTTTGGTGCAGCAATTTGTCTTGCAGGACTTGGTCTGGTGATTCTTTCAGATGCTTGGGACGAGGGGGGTGGAGGTATAATTTTATGCCCTTTCCTTAAAAAGCTTATTTTCCTCCTCCCTTTGGTTCTAACTAGTGATAGTTTGGCTCTACTGCAACCTATTTAAACTGTTTGTTAAGTCGTGAGCTTAATTATTGTCGCTTTGCAGAGTTAGTACACGAATCGAACTAATTTCAGTTTTGCTATTAATTTGTCTTATGAATAGGGAGTTGTTATCGGAGTTTCGAATTATAATAAAAAAAAAAGAGAGGTTTGAGAAGATAGGATGTGCGATTTTCTTTTATAAACTTCTTTTCATAAGAGTGAATTATTGCATCGACGGAAGAAGATGTATTCTCATGTTGAGGTGAAGCTCTATAAATTTTACATGTTCTTGTGTCTCTATTTTTCTTTAACGCAATTCGATTTACTTGCTATTGATGGTATATAATTAGGGTTTCTAATTCTCAACATACTTTATATAAGTATTAGTGGTTAAATACTAATAGAAACTCCTCGTTAAGATCTCTTCCGATAGTTTCTTTCCCTTCATCGTGGTTATAACATATCTTTAAAGTAACCAGTTTTGTCACAACAAGCAATATTGAGCAAGTACCCATCTTACCTATTGCATTTCAGGTGGTTCGAAACCTCTTTTGGGTGATGTACTTGTCATTGCAGGGACAATTTTTTTGGCACTTAGCAATGTTGGTGAGGTTGGTTAATTTGATGTTCCCCATTCCAGATTAAATGCTATGTTCAACAATCAATATTGGTTCCTAATGACAATAATTTCTAATATTTTCCGGTACAGGAATTTTGCGTCAAGAAGAAAGGTTTTGTTGAAGTAGTCACTATGATTGGTTTGTTTGGTATGCTCGTGAGTGCATTTGAGATGTATCCTTATCTCTAATTAAGTACATGAATTCGAAAATTTCTATTTCATTGTAAGATTACTTCGAACTGTTTTCCCTTTACTTGTCTAGCACTATATTGGAGAGGAAGATCTTTGAATCAGTGACGTGGTCTGCAGAAATTGTAAGTACTCAAAAAATAAAAGCTAAAATCTTGTACATTGTTCCATTGAGTGCGGTCTAACAGTGCTAACCAAGCTTGTTATCAGATGGCAGCCTTTGCCGCTTATACGGCATCAAGCTTTATGTTCTACACACTTGCTCCTTTTGTTCTACAGGTCAGCTTTACCTCCGTTAACGTTTCCTCATGGGAATGGTTTTTAGCAAAATTAGTCTTCCTAAGTCAAAATGAGTTTTTAATAAACTATATGGTTACGCTGATAAACCATTACATGTAAAGGCCTTTATGACTGTTAGATGAACACGAAAAAGAAGGTTCCAGAGTCTTTGCCCTGTAATTTCTACTTACGAACTGGTATAAAAACCAAAGTCTACTCATTGTAAGCCACTGTAAGTGCAGGGGAAAGAGAGAAAGAGAACTCTTCGCGAAGTTTTTGGAATGCTTTTAGGGTCGAAAAATTTCCTTTAAAATCCTTCAAAAACAACAGGCTTAAGGCCTTTTAACTGCTCTTTACACTCATTTGGAATTGATATCTCTGTGATTGCATTATAATTTTCTCTAATGGAATGACTATTTATATAGATGAGTGGATCCACACTGCTTAATCTCTCTCTTCTTACATCTGATATGTGGGCAGTTGTCATTAGAATATTTTTCTACAAGCAGAAGGTAATCCCTTTTGCCTATCTTCATTTTTACCCTCTGTAATTGTTTCTACGGCTAAATGGCAGATGATGCTTTGTTTCACATTGCAGGTTGATTGGTTATACTTTCTCGCTTTTGCACTAGTCGTCATTGGAATTGTCATATATTCTATAACGTAAGTCTGGCCTCATCAAGATTCTCGTATTTTCTTGATATTTCACGAATCTATACCTCTCGTTATCTCGAGTTGTATAGAGAATTTTCTCTTGTTGGCAAAAGCAATAGTTCCCAAGTACTAAAACTAACAAATATATATGGAACTCTAGCTGTTATGATACAGCAGTAGTTCTCATTTCTGTCGTATCAAGTATATACGATGAAATCTGTATCGTTTAATTTCCTGCAATTGCCACTGCAGCAAGAAGGATCCTGAAAGCATGCCAACTATTCAAGATGCAGACCATAATCCGGCATATCGTCTCCTTGATGAAGAAAATTCAGATACTAGAAATGACACTGCTGTTTCATTATGAGAGTCAAGGGTCGCCTTTCTTTTTATCTGACGCATAATGGGTAAATTTTATTGTATAATGCTGATCGCTTTCTGTAAGAGATGAGTAGGACACCGTTGAGATGTGTCTCTTAGTACAAAATATGATTTTTCGTGTCTTGCGAGTTCGATCTTATATTTAGACAAAAACTAAAACCATTGTCAAATCCAGAGTTGGCACAAACTTTAGGTAAGTTAGGAGTTGCCTAAGGTGGTATTCCTTTAAAACGTTGGCATAATTTATTTTATTTTTTCTTTTATCGATGACGGTGTGTTTTATTTTATTATTGTTCTTACAAATTTGCGCTTCAATTTTGCTTAATACACTCAAATTATTCGAACTGCCTCTAGGAAATTTTTGTTACATCGAGTGTAAACTCATAGAACTTCATACAAAATCGCTTTCTTTTGTAAACATAATCTGAATCAAAATTTGTAACTCGTCAAAAGTTTTTCAATTGCCTGATTGATCACAAAGAAGACATGTCTATACCTACCGACACGTACTCCATAATGATTGTACAACTAATATTTATTGATGGCAACCCATTGATGATGGTGCTCATGTTAATAGAAATCGAAAATAATATTTATATCATGTTACGGTACAATACAAATAGAGGGTAATGATTGTATTAACGTTAAACATGATAAGGGAAAAATTCACTTTGCCTGAAGTCGATCTAAGACTAATACCCAAGGACTGCCCTCGAGCCCATAGCCTAGTATCCTCGACCCGGAAACATCAAACCCCAAGCCCAACGTTTAGGCTCCTCCACTAAATACCCTACCTCAAGCTCGAGGAGAACCCAATGTTCAATGAGATTACCATAAAGCATACCACCATAGGTTAACGGCCTCGAGCTCATGCCAAGGGTTTGTTGTATTGTCCATGCTTACTCTCTAGAAGTATCCTAATCCTATTAGAACTCCACTAGTTCCTCAAGCTCATGTCGTTAGGGAAAAAATTTCCACTCTCAAAGTATAAAGTACCCCGTACTTTCTGTCATTATTTAATTGACACGTATATTAAATAATTAAAATTCTTTATGGGATCCAATCATGGATAACTATGTAATGCTAGTCGCCTCCTTCCTGCTTAACATCAGTGTACCTATTCATTAAATGTCCTTAAATGATTGGACATCTCAAATATGACTTATATATCTTCATTTAAGATGTCCAATCATGGATAACTATGTAATGCTAGTAGCCCCCTTCTTGGTTAACATCAGTGTACATGTTCATTAAATGTCCTTCAATGATTGGACATCTCAAATATGACTCATGTATCTTCATTTAAGATGTTTAATCGTTTCAGGACACTAAATGGACATGTATAATGGTGCCAAGTACTAGTGAGGTTGAATAAAATAATTCATAAATAATACGCAATAAATTGATTAATGATAGAAATACCGAGTTTTATAGTTCAAAGGTATTAGAAATTTTCTTGTTGTTCACTTGCATACTCTCTGATTGTATACCAACCAAGGTCCAAGATAGACCATTTCTATTACAAATCACACTCACATATGCTTTTGGACTCTTGAGCTGATTATTCACCAATACAATATCAAGTCTCTCACTTGTCATACTCTTCATATGATTCCACCATATACCATTATAGATATGCGACATTCATTCGTTATTCAGATACGACTTCGTTATTTAGTTTGTAGCCTCATGTGCATATATCTTTTCTTTCTTCTGATTTAAGCATTGAGCCGGCGAGCATTCTTCGAGGTGTGATTTTTTGTAGCTGTTCTTACGAAATCTCACAAGTGCACAGCACTGTACACTAGTAACAAAATGTGATGAATAAGATATAGTCACATGGAGACTTTGTATTTAATCTAGTGTCAGTTGACAGTTAATATTAAATTTAATCGAATAACTAAGTTTTAATTATCAATTCTATACTAATTGATCTAATTATTTTAATGCATAAATTATGAGATTTTTTGAAAGATTGTGTTGAATACATACTAAAACTTCGAATTCTCCTTATTATTCAATTTAATGCAATTCAATATCATGGTAATATGTACTAATTCTCGTTGACCAATATTCCTAAATTATTTAATAATATCTCTCGAGTAGAATTAAATCTATCATCTCATGCAATCTTCATATATCACTATGAAAGATGTCAACAAGAATGCATGCATTAAAAATTCTAGAACATTCATTGAAATTATGCAAAGCATAGGGTTATATCTCTATTCTCTATCGGACCTCACAATAATTGGTATAAAATTTCAAAGTCATACTCCTCTATTGTTATAACGTGCCAAAATCATATTCCCTCTTTTGAATGACATAATAATAATAATAATAATAATAATAATAATAATAATAATTCAGTTAGTAGATAATTAATTAAAAGGCATTAAGTCATATAATAATCCAAGGATAAACAGATTGTGCGTCAAAATATTGAAATTATTATGAAAATTCATAAAAAATGGTTCATATATGTCTTTTTAAACAAAAGTCTAGCATTGCATTACAAAGTTACAAGAAATCATAATTATTTTGTAGAATATCACCCGGAATTTTTTATAAATGGAGAAAAAGATGAGGAATCTTGAAGTTCTTGAACCTCTTCAATAATTTTTTTTGATTGTTTCCACTTGCACATTTCTCTTTTTTGTCCAAAAATCAATGTTGGATCTTCAGTTGAGTGAATTCTTGTATTTTGCCTTCTACTTTTTTCCAAAAGAATGATGATTTGCCTCTCTTTGATTGCAATATTTGATGAATTATATGATATGAGAGGTATTTAGTGGTTATGAGAGGCCTCTTCAAAATAAATTCTCAGTGGAAAAAATATTTCTCATCTATTAAATTCATTCATAAAATTTGACACCATTGATTTGATCTTCATGTGGTTCGACTGTGTCCAAATTTTAGGATCAGCTCGGTCCTTTGGCTCGTGGGCCTCCCGATCCCAAATGATTTGGGGTGTCCATGAGCCCAAACGAGTTGAGCTGTCCACGAGTCCAAATGAACCGATATGTCCACGAGTTGGCTCTTTTTCTTTATTTGTAAAAATAAATTAATAAAATAAGTCTAAGAAGGAGTAATTTTTTAAGAAATTAATAAATAAGTCCAAAAATAAGAAAAAAAATGAGTCAACTCAAGGACCACACGGCTTATGAAAAACAAGTGAGCTTGGCTCGGCCCATGGCTCCTCTCTAAATATGCCCGAGTTGCCCATGAGTTGAGCTGTGCCCATGAGCTAGTGAGCCGTTCGACCCAACTGCCACATCTAGGAATTGATGCTCTTTTGCCATGGTTTCTTGTTTTCTTTCTAAGATTAACCCAAAAAATAAGGCTCTCAATTCCAAGATTTCAGGAGGGTAGAGAGAGATTAGAAATTTTAGGTTTATATGTAATATTATTTTATTGAATAATGTGTGATGGATAAGAAAAGAGAGACGCTTATGGGTCGGACCACTTAATTTGACTTTAATCCCAAGTGCAACGAAAATCATGAATTTAGAAAATTGAATTTTGAATAATTGAAAAAGTTAATAAAAGGCTTAATAGCAGAATACCTCCTACCTATTAAACGTTGTGTGAAAACCCCGACCTATTGAAAATAGTAGAAAAGTTCTCTGTTTGAAACTTTTTGTGCGAAAAAATCTCATGTCGTTTCATTCTGTCAATTGTGTCGTTAAATCCCATTAAATAGGAAAAAATAGAAATGACAAAACCCCACCTATTGAACATGGTACGCAAAACCTCCCTCATCTATTGGCATTGGTGAAATACCCTTACAGTCTATTTTATTAACAAAAGATTGAAAATGACGAACATACCATCCTATTTAAATAAATAAATAAATGGGTTAATTTCACAAATGGTCACTGAAGTTACCTAAAAATTTCAAAACGGTCACTGAATTTTCAGATTTTTTGGGCAAGTTTGAGGCAATTTTTCGACAACTTCCGACCACCAAAATCGCCGATTTCAGATACCATTGGAAAGCCCACGATATCCTCTTCAATTATCACAAAAAATCTCCCCAAAACTCCAAGTGATTTTGCCGGAATAAACCCACGAAATCGGCAACCGAAAATTGTGAAAATCTGTCCAGATTTTCAGATTTTTTGGGTAAGTTTGATGCAATATTTTGGCAACTTCCGACCACCAAAACCTTCGATTTCGAATACCGTTGGAAAGCCCACAATGTCCTCTTCAATTATAACCGATTTACATGGTTATGGTGCAGTTATGGCATAGCCAAAAATTTGGTGGTGCGGTTATGATTTTGGTCGAATCGACCCCAAACTGAACCGTTGCCATCCCTATCCTTTGCCGGTTATACGACATCAACCTTCTTGCTCTACACACTTGTTTGTTTTGTTCTACATGTCAGCTTTACCTCCGTTAATGTTTCCTTATGGGAATGGTTTTTTAGCAAAATAGTCTTCCCAAGTCAAAATGAGTTTTTGATAGAACCATGTGGATACGCTGATCTACCATTACATCTGAAGGCCTTGGTGAAGGTTAGATGAACATGAAAAGGAAGGTTCGAGAGTCTTTGCCCTGAAATTTCTACTTACGAACCGTTATAAAAACCAATGTCTACTCATTGTAAGCCACGGTAGGTAAAGGGGAAAGAGATAAGGAGAGCTCTTCACGAAGTTTGTGTAATGCTTTTAGGATCGAAAAATTTCCTTAAAAATTCTTCAAAAACAACCGAATTAAGGCCTTTAACTGCTCTTTAAGTTGGAAGTTGGCAATTAATTATATCATCGTAAATTAATTTGGGCATAATGACGTCGTGAATTCTTGAATGCTATAAATGTTAATGGTCAATGTAAGAGTTTGACTCTTTCTCCTTAATACGATAATGCCCCGCACTGGTGCGACGGTATTCCGGCACTCGTCTTCCAAGATACAATGATCTCAACTTGTAATAGTAATATTAGAAATTACAAGACCCGATGAACCTGCTCACGTTTTGATCTC